TGTGCTTGACTGGCTAGCAAACTCACCAGACCTGAACCCCATGGAGAATCTATGGGGTATTGTCAAGAGGAAGATGAGAGACACCAGACCCAACAATGTAGATGAGCTGAAGGCCGCTATCAAAGCAACCTGGGCTTCCATACCACCTCAGCAGTGCCACAGGCTGATTGTCTCCATGCCACACCAAACTGATGCAGTAATTCATGCAAAAGGAGGCCCAACCAAGTATTGAGTACATGTACAGTAAATGAACATACTTTCCAGAAGGCCAACAACTCACTAAAAATGTTTTTTTATTGGTCTTATGAAGTATTCTAATTTTTTGAGATAGTGAATTGGTGGGTTTTTGTGAAATGTGAGCCAAAATCATCACAATTAAAAGAACCAAAGACTTAAACTACTTCAGTCTGTGTGCATTGAATTTATTTAATACACGAGTTTCACAATTTGAGTTGAATTACTGAAATAAATGAACTTTTCCACGACATTCTAATTTATTGAGATGCACCTGTAGTGTATATGCATAGATCTATATCTCTATCTATCTATCTGGCTTATCTATATACACAGACACACACAATAATACACAAAATGATATGTACACTAATTTGAAAGAAACTAAACATTTAACTAAACTTTTATTCAGCAAGGATGCAATAAATTAATCAAAAGTGACAGTAAAGGCATTTCTAAGATTTTACATTACATTTCTAAGATTTTACATTACATTCAAAATTATTTTATTTCAAATGAATGCTGTTCCTTTCTACTTTCTCGTCAATAAATCCAGAAAAAAATGTCACTTTATCAACAAAAGCATCTATCTACATACACACACTCACACAATAACCTGATTGTACCTGTATCCTAAACTTCAAGTTGCTAAAAATGCTTTTGTCTTTGGTCATGTCTAATATTGCCTAGAGCACCAAGTGAGTCAAGACTGCCACTAGAGCCCCATCAAAACCAAAACGATGACCCAGGGTGAGACCACCTTTGCTGGAAACTCTTTGAAGCAGCCCTGCACTGTAAAGATGTATAGACTTCAAGTGTCTTCCATTTCAAAGCTGAAGTCTCTCAAAGTCTAAAAACTTTTTTTTGTTTCACAGAAACCTTCTTACAAGAATGTCTTTTAAAAGACCTTCGTCATTCACACTCAAAACTGACAGTGACAGTCAGGAGATGCCAGGAACGGGCACACAAGAGCTGTTTTAACATGAAAGGATTCCCTAGTTGGCAAAGCGAGCTCACTATAACCTCTGTGTGACAGCTTTCCACTCTGTCTGTTTGCCAGGAGGCGGCTTTTTTGGCATGGAACGGATATGTAATCACTAATGTGTTTAAAATGACTGTGAGCAGCTACTCCAGGTCTGAGTGCCGCTTCCAGACCACAAGAACAGAACTGTTAATCACATAAATCACACTGTTTATTATTGAGAATAAACACATTTCCTAGACAGCATGTTCAGAAACATAACTGGTGAACGGTGAACTGTATCTACACAAAGGAAATCCAATCCACATAGAGTTAGTTCTCCACAACTAAAAAGTAGATGGACTCATCTGTCCTTAGCACTCAAATTATCTCCAGTCATGCCAAGCAAAGAGCCATTATCTTCTCACAATGTGCCAAGGGTCTCTTTTAATTCAATCAGATTTGATGTGAGGGTAAATTATTTATTTTTGATTAATTTCCTGTATGTAATTGTGTCACGCTGCCAGAACCAGTGCTAACAATAAACCAATGAGATGCAGCATGTGAAAGGAAATCTGACCTGATAAATCAATGAGCCAATCAGAACAGACAATTGGCCGGTAAAATGCAGGATGTGAGAGGTCCTGTAAGCAAATCAAATTTCCTGTAAAAGAACAGCTGTGAGATGATAGCTGACGCAATTTGTTCTGTGTAAAATGGGCAGTGTGGGATTTCAGTGAAGAAACGCATGTCATATTCACAAACCATCGTAATCTAGCTTAACCAGGTGCTGAAACAGAGCCATGGGTATTTAAAATAAAGTCACTGTCATTCTTTTAAGCACAAACACACCTGTCTATGCAAATAAGGCTTTAGGAAGTTTATAATAGTGAGCGCTATATGCTTGCCATAATTAACGGTGTGCTATTGCCGCCCACTGAAAGCAGGCGGTAAATAGGGTTTATTAAAAAGTCATGTTTTTGTACATTTTCTACTCATCATGGCAGTAGTAATTTATCAAATAATGGAGAACAGCATTATAGTGGGGCATATATCCAGACAGCATACAGTCGAGTACACTTTCTGCATTTTAAAAAGCCAATTGTAATGGTCTAATGATAGCGGTATAGTCCTAGAAAAGCGGTGGTTCTCAACAAGAGGGCCACAGAATGATTATTTATAACATGACAATAAGCATCAAAATAAGCTAAAACAAGTCAAATTCATGATATTTCATCTTTTATTTCTTCCTCTCAACAACTGTTTTTTTTTCTTCTTTGAAGAATATGAATAGAAGAACAGGGTTCTTGTGTATTTATGAGGTAGCCTAATTTTAAGTGCAATTTCTAGACTTCAAATAGAATCTAATAAAATCTGAATCGATAAAATAAAACTCCCTGGGCATTTTTTTTATAATGAATATACTTTTTTTTCAAGCCACACCAAGCTCCAAAATATTTCACTGGGTAGAAATTGTGAGTAAACATATATATACGTATATACTGTATATTTAAAAATCCTTATCCAGTAACTCACAAATAAGTGGAAAAAATACTATAAATTCAGTTTAAAAAGAGTGGGAACCTTGAAAAACATTCCACTCATAAAATTTCTGAAATGCTTACATTTAGTTTACAGACACAAGGAGTGTCTGGCCTTCAGATGTTGTTGTGGATATAGGGTTGAGAACCACTGCACTGAAATATACCAGATTACATCTTCTGCATCTTTCACAACCAAACACTGAGATGCAAAATACAAAAATTGTGAATTTTAGCATGCAAACTGCGTTCAATACAAACATTTCACAGCCTTATTTGCATAATTCCTCCTTTAGTGAATCATGTGAAGCACAAATGGCGAGTGTGAATGTGGCACTATAAGTGGATGCAATTCATTCTTGGCGAATTCCCCTTGTGTGTCATTTCTGTATTCAGCATGCATTTGTGGCATTTGAAAGTTTGATTGCATTGGCCTACTTGAGTGACAACCCAAAATGGCATGCATCATCCATCGAGGCACTTAAATACAGTGTCATATAGAGTCCATGGAGCTGAATTACACAGTTGATGTTTATTGCATGTGAATTATTGTGTCAGTGTGTGTATGTACTCACTGGCAGAAAGGCAGCAACTGCAGTAAAGTTTCCTTTGTGGGCTGGGCAGTGAATTCAGGCAGTGTCTGGATCAGTTTATTCATCACCATACGCAGGTATGACTGCAGCTGTTTCCTCCTCTCCTCTACAAACTTTGCATCCTACAAATTGAAACAAATACATAATTCAAGTGTCTTAAATGGATAGTTCCGCTATAAAATTATCATTGTTCACTTCCCCTCATGTCATTCCAACCCTTGTGAAAAAGTTGAAACTCCGAACTTCAACTTCAAATCTTTAAAGTATATTTAAAAAAACACTGTACTTGCAGAGAACACATTAATTAAATAAAAGGCCACTTAAGTATACTCGGAGTGCACCTTCATGAATATGTTTCTTAACAATCTTAAGTACACATTTAAAGTGCACTTTATAGTAATGCCAAATTAAAAGTTTTAAAGTACATTTTAAATCATTGTTTTAATAATCTTCAGTCATGCTTCAAAGAAGTACTGTACACTTATTTTGATGTGGTTGCAAAGTACTTGATCATTTAAACTAGTATTATTTTATATTACATTTAAAGTTAATATATTTTATATATTTTAATATATGTACTAAATTTCTATTTAATCATTAGAAACGTGTAATTACAAATATATTTAAACATATAGCATACAAGTTTCAATAGAAATTACATTAAAGTATATTTTAGTTCATCATAAAATCAACCTGCTTTGTCAGTACATTCGACAGTACACTTTAACCATATTTCAAAGACAACAGAATTAATTATGAAATTACATATAAAAA